CGCTGGTATCGCTGCAAGTTCTGGGGAGACGCACCCGGTGTCCTTCTCTCCAGGAGAGACAGTTGCTTCTCGTTTCTCTGTCCCCTTGGCTCCTACAGGAGCTGGCCTGGTTTTTGAATCTGCCACCTTCTGAGGAAGGTCTGAGGAAGCGCTGTCAGCGTTTCGCTGTTTATCAGTGGTTCTTATTTCTTTATCATCCACCTTTGCCACAGGAGAAAGGTGAACTTTGTCCTTCTTTGACTGAACGCCCTGTTTAGCTGAGTGATCCGAAGGAAGTTGTTTACCTGCCTCGCTGCCATCCCGGGAACCAGCCTCTTGGGTTTTATCGTCTTTCTCTGAAACTTCTCTTCCGGGCTCTTTGTGCCCCGGACTGATCGGTTGCTCGCAAGATTTCTGCGCCTGTACCTGCTCCCCAGCACCAGATCCAGGCTCCTCGCTGCTTTTCCCTGCTCCTGCTTCTGGAGGAGGAAGCCCCTGACTTCTTGCACCCTCAGCCGTCTGCTTTGGGAAGCCGGCAGAACCGCTGCCAGTGTTATCTGGGCCAGGTACCGCAGTCTGAGCAAAGGATTTGAAGTCAATTCCTTTATTATTCCAGAGCATTTGAGGGCCAATGGGAAAGTTTTTAATATTTCTGTTTTCATCTACCAAATCCATGTCTTCCATGCCATATTCCACCTCAGATCCCAGGGGAGGCTGCCCTTTGCTCCTGTTCGGTTTTGTCTCTAGAAAACCAGGCTGCTCAGAGGCATTTTTAGCCCTTTTACTACCTCCATCGTAACCCCTCTTTTTAGATCTATCAGTAACTGTGGCCGAAGCGTGACCTGCCACTGCTGGATGCTCGAGGAGAGGAAGGCCACCCCCGCTGCTGCAAGGAGCGGGACTTTCTGCTTCGGATTTCTCAGTCATCTCCACATCACGAGGAGGAAACATCTCTGTGCCTGCTTTATGCTCCAGAAGTGGCTGCTGCAAGTTAGCCTCCACCTTTTTGCATTTCTCTGTACTACTTGTGAGTGATTTTTCTGGCTCCAGAGGTATAGCAGGAGCTTGCACTTCAGTGGTGTCAGTTCGGCCATCCGGCAGGCTCGCTAAAGCACCGCCGTGAGTCTCTCTGCCTTTACCAAAAGGCCGGGTTTGTTCACCACTTCCCACCGCTCCACCTCCCGCAGGGATGTTACCTGGAGCCAGCCCAACAGAGTGCTCAAGGCCACCTTCAGCCTTTCTGCCTTTCACATCTCTACTTTTTTTCTTAGGCTTGTCCGTCACCAGTGCCCTGGTTGGACTGTGTGCCCCAGTCGCGTCTGTCCTGCGCCCCAGGAGAGGCTTGGGTGCATCCGCTGCCTCACCTGTAGTCAGGGGCCACGTTTCTTTAACGGTGACTATTTCTGGCTCTGACGTCTCTATTTTATGACCCGAAAGAACTGGCTGATTAGAGAAAGTTCTCCTAGTGCCACCCTGTAGTTCAGGCTTTCCCAGCACCTCTTTGCTTACACCTGTCAGATTCTCTGGCGAAAGCGCTCTTTCAAAACCAGACATCTTATCTTTATCAAAAGTCATTTCTTTTGGGCTTCCAGCCACCTTCTCTTTGCTTGGAAAACTGCTTATTTCCGCCCCAGCCTCCAGGACAGCTGCCTGCCCCAAAGGACTTCTCTCAGGTTTTTTTCTTTTCCCATCACTACACCTCTTTCTAGGTTTTTCTGACACCGGTGTTGCATCAGAATTTATCACAACTGGTTCACCTGCAGAAGTCATTCCGGCCTCCTTGCCTTTATTAATCAAATTTACCCCTCTTGGTTTGCCGATCATGTCGGCCACAGCAAGATGCTTTGCTTCCTCTCTCCTACTCTCCCGCAGGAATGGTCGCTCTAAAGCACCCGAATCAGCCATTTCATGTGTTCCAACACTGTCTGTAGGCTCCTCTGTTTCCAGTTCAACTGGCCTTTGTGTTTCAGCTACCTCTGATGTATTCTCCTGAAAACACTCAGCAGTAACAGAGCCCCTCTCCCTGCCTTTATCACTAACTTCCTTAGTGTTGTCAGTTATGTCAGGAAAACTACTTGGGTCCATCTTATTGTCAAGGAAAGGCTGCTGGAAAAAACTTCTTTCACCTTTTTTACTTCTTCCATCACTACCCCTTTTTTTTGGCTTGTCTGCAGGGTAAGCGTGTGTGATGCTTACTGCCGGATGCCCTCGAGCAGTGACGCCTCTGCCTCTATCGGGGTAAGTTGTTTCTTTTATGGTCTCATCTGTCCTCGCTCCATCAGCGAGTTTGCTGACATCCTCCAAAAGCATCATCTGCTCAGAGAAGCTTTTGATTTTTTTCACTCTCCCTTCACCACGCTTTTTTTTAGGTCTGTCCATCCCCTGCGCAATATTGGGATCTTTTCCAGTCTGCTGCTCTAACACCACAAATCCTTTCCCTTTGTTTTTGTCAGGGGACTCTGCTGCCATCGCTCTGTCCAGGGCTTCAGCAGAGGTGGGCTGTTTGGTTGCATCAGACTTGGCCGACAGAAGACGGGGCTGCTCTGAGAAACCGTCAGCCTTTCTGGTTGGCGAAGCAGTGACTTCCTCGGGTTTTGGCAAAACTAACGGCGTAACGGGCGTTGCAGCAGCATCTGCTGGGGTGTTCAACACTCCCTCTGAAGCACTAAAGTCAACGGCCTTGCGCTTATCAGAGGGCGCTGGCTGAGTTTCATCGGGCGCCTCTGGCTCGCTCGGAAGCTTGTCCGACAGGGCCGCAGCCTCCAGAAGGGCAGGCTGTTGGCAGGATTCGTTTGCAACCCCTTTGCTTTTTTCACAACTACCTCTTTTCTTTGCTGCTGCTTCCAGTGACCCACTGGAAGTCTGAAGCTCACGATGGACAGTGTCACCGACTGCTTCATGCCTGGGAGGTGGGCATTTAGCCTCCTTATCTTCATCAGGAAGGAGCAATTCTGAAGGTTTGGTCTGTAAAGGAGTTTCTGCTTTGCTTACACTGATTGCTTCTGAAAGAGACGCCGGCAGGTCAGCACGTTTTGACTCCTCGTACTCCCTCTTCTCATTTTTATCAAGCAAATCTCGTTCCACAGGCTTGCTTGGCCCCTTTGCCGTAACAGATTCCCCCACCTTAGTCTTGCCTACCTGCTCCAAGGGAACCTCTTCTCTTTTCCCTTTAGATTGCAACATCAAGCTGTCACCTCTCATTTCTTCTGTTCCCATGACATCTCCATTTTTCTCATCCAACACAGACTCTAAGAGCACGCTGGGGTTTTGGACCGGCTGTCCTGGGGCTGGCAACGAGAAGGCATTTTGCTCATCCAGGATATGACTTCCAGTGACTATTTTAGCATCCTTTGGGGTATCTGAAGCTCTGCTTCCTGAGGCAACCGACTGCTCTTTGCGGGCTTCAGCAGGCATTACGGGACAGGCATCTGGTTGTTGCAATTCAACAGCAAATGGAGAATTTCTAGGAGCTTTTGCGACTGCTACATTGTCATCCCAGAACTCCATTGTTCTTGGCAGCTGGTTTCTCTTTTGTTTTGGTTTCTTTTTCTTTTTCTTCACAATGGCCAGAGAACCTTCCAAATCCCAGCTCTCCCTTGGCAGACCTCTGGAGCTCTCCACAAACTCTGACAGCGCACTGGGTGGCTGCTCAGTCGCCTTTTTATGCGAAACCCTAGTGCGAGGGGATGTTCCAGCAACGCATCCGAGTTCCCCTACAGAATAGGGGTCTACTTTTGGGGCAGCACTCTTCTGTTGTGGGAGACCTACTAGACGTTCCTCTGGTACATCTGTAATAGGCACTGGTGCAGGTTTTGCTCTGCCAAACCTGCGTTCACTTGATTTGTTAGCTTGCCTTATTTGTGCAGTAGGTAGACCTGGAATACAGGAAGCCTGCTCAAACATCAAAGCGACTATTGGTTTTATAAAAAAATAAATACACTATTTATGTGATTTTAGCCATCTATAACAGTCCATACAGTCACACATGCAGAATTTTCCAGCACTGATACCACACTAATTCTAAAGCCATCTCAGTAGGGCTGGGATAGACAGTTACACGCAAAACCTATTTAAACCACTACCGATAAACACGTCAATGCTATTTGAAAACACGTAATTCCTGATACATGCTCTTACCCCACCAAAAAGCAACAGTTCTTGTAAGGACATGCTATCGCTTTTTAAAAATGCATTAAGGACCCATTTTGCCTCAGCAAGACAAGACAGCAGATAGGCTTTTTATATCTCTAGCTGGCATCCTTCCAAAATGTGAAAATAGAAGTTTAGTGGAAAGATGGGACTAGGGAAGAGAGAAGGGGCATAATGGGGAGCAGAAGAGCTCAGCTTCCCCCAGCACCCACGGTGGAAGCAGCGGAAGGCAGAACTCCGTAAGAGCAGTCACTTGCTGTACTCCGTTACAGGCAGCGCTGGGTTTCCTTAGCTACAAGCCACTGATTTCAAAGAGAGCATCAGCCGTTTGTCAGTCAGCCCCGGCCCACAAATCAGCCCCCAGGCACAAGCGTAAGCAGTAACAGCTCATCAGAGAGGCTGGGTTAGTGGAGCAGGAAAAAAATTACATTTTCCTTTGGTAATTACAAAACTCAGTTTGGAAGGAGGTCTTCACTAGGAATATTGTAATAAGAATTAATGGTCCTTTTTAATACCAAAATAAAAAGCTAACAGTAATGGCAAAAAGAGGGCGAGCTTTTCAACTCTACGGCAGAAAGCAGGTCTGTAAGCCTTCCTTAAGTATGCAAGCAAGCCAGGCCCAGTGATAAAGTGCTAGCAGCACCCATATTTGGGCTTTTAGTGCAGTGAACATGGAGGGGAAAAGAGTATTTAAGAGGGCAGGGATTACAGGCACAGCGCTAGAAGAATCGCTGATGAAGGCAAAGAACCACACAGCTGCTTGGTGCAAAAGAGATTTCTGCTTGCTCGAGTGGCAATGCAGTCAGCAGGAAGAGGTGAAGAGTTCACAGAGGTATTTCCGCTCTAAAATGGAATTATTAGTTATGTTCTACCTGGGGGCTCTTGCAGGGTTTGCTCTTGCTGAGGTTCTGCATGTTGGACATGGTTGTGTTCAGCCTCCTCCTTTTGTTTCTCTGTAACAGGAACATCCACAGCAGTGACAGGTTTTTCTGGAAGGAGGTCTTTCTTTTCTAGTGCAACGGCTTCTTTTGCTTCTACTGGAATTGAAACATGAAAGACACGAACAGAAATGCTTCAGTTCCTATGAGCACAGGCAACCTGCAGATTAAAAGCAAGCCCCTGGAAAGCGCATCGGCTTTATTCTATTTTTAATAGGAATGAAGTTTCTAAGACACGGTAGCCTACTACGTATTATCTCCTCACAATCCCATTTCAAGCAGCAATTTTATCTTTTGACAGCCATGCCAAGGGGGAGGTGAAACGCGAAGGAAAGACTGTCCTGGGGCTTACGCACAGGGTAAGGGTTTGGTTTGGGGTTTTCCCCTCTTTGTAATCAACCAACCTTGGACTACACCAGCTTCCCACTGGAATTCAAATCCAGAACGTAACCCATCACCAGCCTGGAGTCCCTAGCTAATGCTCATCACCCAGTGTTCATACACACCTTGGAACAGATTCATGCAGGCACTACAAAATTCCTAGCTACACATAATTATAACAAGTTTTAATTTGTAAGACATAATTACATTGGAGAGCAGTTCTATATGTAATCAATTTTATCTAAATTTTAAATAGAAATAAAAATTATGACAGACAGTGGTACAACAAATACGGATGAGGAAGAAAAAGACAAGTTATACGGTGCTAGTTTCAAATGTTAAGACTACCCCCTGTTTCTGGCAGTCCCCATGTTAGCACACACTAACAACCTTCTTGAAATTAAACCTTTGCTGCTTTTTCCTCGGTAAGGACAGGAGAAGAGCATCGGTGAGAAAGAACTTACGTGCTGGGGGCAGAACTAGCTGACAGCAAAGCGCTGGCTCCAGCTTTATACCGTGGTTTGCATCTCTCACCTTGGGGTTCTGAAAGGTGGTTCGTCTCTTCTGGACGATGCTCTTCGTGGCGGCTGGGAGGGGCTGCGCCCTCTTGAGCGTTCGCTAACAGACCCACACAAGCTTCTGCGGCTTTCGATTCTTGTTCCACAGTTGCTGTTGCTTCTGCAAACGGAATGTAAAGAACAAAAATTCGTATTGTTTGAAATTTAGGTCAGTTTAAGCAAGATAAAAATCGCTCCCTCACCTAATTATCTCCCACAAGAAACTAAAGTTTTTCCTCACTTTCAGAACAGTGGTAATCTGGTTTTTATGATCACTTTCTGCCAGCTCCCCTCTCCTGAAAGCCCAAGTGTTTCGCTAAAGCAGACGCTCCTGTACTGTCTGGTGTTTACTCTTTCATTCACCCACCTGCGCCTCTCACCACATTCTAGTAGGGTTTTTTTTTGTTAAAACTTCTCTTTTGAAATTCATTCCTATCATTAAACTAAAGAGTACTAAAAGGTAAAAAAGGAAATATCTCACTCCAACTCCTTCTGCAGTCAATCCACATACACAGCCTCTGCCCAGTACCGTTGGCTATATTTGGACAGTAATTTTCTCCCCAAAAGGATAGTGGCCTTTGAGAAATCTATGCAGCACAGAAAATCTATCGCCCAGCGCACGGGAAAAACTAAAACGCCTGCCTCGCCACTTCGACACCTGTAGTTATTCCAAGGAAATGTCACAAAACTATCAACAAAGCCTATCAGTCTACTCAGAAACCGTTTCTGCACGGTAAGAACCTTCATTTGAAAACACTGTGTCCTGCAGGGCCTGTGGAGATTCCAGCGTAAGCTGAGGATGGTAGCGACACAAAAATGATTACTAACAGGGATAAACCACAACGTCTCTACGGCTGCCCCAAAAACCATACATGACTGCTAAGAATGCCAAGTAAAAATAAAAATAAATCATTCAGATACTCTAGTCCTATATTTTATAAGTGAAAATCCTCACAAAGCATTTCCTCTGTCTGTATCTTGACAGCAGAACTGAGCCCTACTTAAGATGTCTGTGTGTACCACAGCCTGAACTCCTAAAAGGAACGTGCTTCCTATCGACAGCCTCACAGCAACGGCGCATCTGTGCAGCCATCGCTGGGTGCTACCCCGAGTGCCGCCGCTAGTGCCACGCCAGCCTACAGCGGCCTTCCCACACCGCTCGCCAGGCTACCTCAAGCCTGAAGGAGGCTTTCAGGCCCGCTCACCCGCCAGAGGCTTCTCGAAGGGCGACTTGTCTTGCTCGCGAGAAGACTTGGATGCCATCAGCTCTTCAGGTGCAGCAACCTTGGTGTCAGCGGCAGAGACAGGCTTAGCTTCTGCAGAGGCAAACCCAGAATCCATGGCAGGAAGAGGCTTGGCTTCTGCTACAGGAGCAAACCCAGAATCCATAGCATGATGATGGTTGACTTCTGCTGCAGGGGCAAACTCTGCAGCTGCTGCGGCCGCAAACTCAGAATCCACAGCTCGGTGAGATTTCGTATCTGCCGCTGGAGCAAATGCCAGATCCCCAGCACGGTGAGATTCCACATCTGCCGCTGGAGCAAATGCCAGATCCCCAGCATGGTGAGATTCCACATCTGCTGCTGGGGCAAATGCCAGATCCCCAGCACGGTGAGATTCCACATCTGCTGCTGGGGCAAATGCCAGATCCCCAGCACGGTGAGATTCCACATCTGCCGCTGGGGCAAATGCCAGATCCATAGCATAGTGAGATTCCACATCTTCTGCTGGGGCAAACTCCAAATCCATAGCATAATGGGATGTAGCGTCTGCTGCTGGGCTGAAGGCAGTACCCACCACTGGGGCAGACGCAGCATGGACAGCATTAGGAGGTTTGGTTTCTGGTGCAGGAGCAAACCCAACATCCACAGCCTGGAGAGGGCTGGCTCCTGCTGCAGATGCAAATCCAGCGTCCAGAGCTTGCGGAGGCTTGGTGTCTCCTGCAAGAACAGACCCAGCTTTTTCTGCAGAAACGGACAGGACATCCGAGGCAGGAACACCGGCTGCATCTGCGACAAAAGCACAGACATCGACCGAGAAATACAGACTGTAAATACCTGGCAGTGTGGGTTACGAGTAGAGAAGACAGGGCTGTCGCTCCCTGTCCTCCTCCTCGTCTTGCACCAGCACTTGCTCCCCCCGTACACCAGTGCACTCAAGCTGTACTAGCCTTTAGCCTTTATGACGCTCAACGCACCCAAGAGCTTTTCCCCCTACAGCCTCACGTGCCTCGTTTTGTACCCTTGCCTCCAGCGTCAGACATCCCTCTGCTCCTAACGCACACAGCCAAGAGACTCGCTGTTTGTGTTTACAACCCACCCGGTGCCGCGCAGCTGGCAAGAGGCCCGAGCTGCTGGACCCTCCGCGGGCTGTAACGCACCCCAACAGAACACACCCAGGAACCACAACGAGGGGCTCTCCCGTGTCGCAGCACACACAAACTTTTGGGGGCACCTTCCCGAGCCCAGCTCTGTATTCCAACTGCAGGAAGCCCAGAAACGCTCCAGGGGCGCAGGCACTCCGTTTAGCAGCCGTTTACGCTGTTCACGGGAGCGGAGCTCCGGCAGCGGCACTGGCACTCCTGACACAACAGGCACTGCCGTCAGGGAATCACAACAGCCCTTTTAGTCCTTCATGCCCAGCTCGGCCTCGTTTGTTTCTCACATCCTATCTCCTGAACACCGAGCCGTTCGTTGCAAAATAACGTTTTGTCAGTTCACAGCACAATCAAACCTCTGCATTTTCATAAAATCCCCTTAAAGGAGGTTTTTCAGTCAGTTTCAGTTTAACATTTTGGCTGCCCAGAGGCAAGTTTTTACAAATTATCAAGACCCAGAAGCACTACATTCCTCTTCTGCAGCTATTAATTTCAACAGCCCCAAGCACTACCCACGCTCTGTAATGCAGCATGGTGACCTGAACAGCTCAGATATATTGCTGAGGAGATGTTAAAAAAAATAAAAATATATTTCTAGTGATTGTTTGAGTCACATCTAAAAACACCCTCCCCAAACAATGGAAAAGGTATTAAATCATGAATTAGATACTTAAACTGAAAAAGGAAAGGAACTAGGAAAACAAAAAGGTCCCTTTAAAATAGCACTTCAAGATCCATTGAGATAAAACCAATATTCCAGTGAACAAACCAAAAAGATCCATTATGCACTAGCCCTCATTTGGGTTTTGCCCTTTTTTTTTTTCTTAAAGGGATACAACGATCCTCTCCAAAATAAAATTTAAAGATTGTGATTTTACAGAAGAATGAGACAGTAAATAAACAAATATTTAAAGTAGGATGGATGCTCCCTGGTGAATCATGGAAAGTACGGGAATAAAGCATGAAAAGCCTGGACAAAGACTGGTGCAAAATGTACCACGAGTGACACTGTACACAAATACCTCAGAAATTATGTTTTAAAAGAGAGTCTTCAAAACAGACAGTTTTTAAGGTATTTATATAGAGCATCAGACTCATGGTACAACCACATTCTTGACACACCTTAACATTTTGCTGGAGCTAAAATTTTGAGAAAGTAAAGAATCATTAAACCAGTCACTGGACTGTCACAAGGGCTGGAAGGTCAGGCAGGCTGGCTATTCCTCACCAACACAATTCAGGCATCACAAACCTTCCGTCACAACAGAATTTGCTAACACCTTGCTGTGTTTCCTTCAGAAGAGGCAGTCCCATGTCTTTCCACCACGACAGCTTGCTCAGGAAGGGCCTAAACCCAGCGCCAACCTTTGGACGGGGGCACCTTTACCTGATTTTGGTCCGTCAGTAGCTTCAGGCTCTCCTGGGGACGCCGTCACTGCAGCAGGAACAAAACCAGGAGCCAGCGCTGCAGGGCTTTCCGGTAGATTCGGCTTTATTGCTTCAGTCACGGCGGGGGGCACTGGGCACACAAAACCAAGCGTGATTAGGCACTCGGAGATCTCGGCAAACAGCCTTCTCCTCTGGAGCTGGCAGGATGTGAATCACCCTCTCGAGGTGCTGCCTGCTCTGGGCCGCCTGCCGCGGCAACCCTGATGAGTAACTGCCCCGCTTCAGCGTCCCAGCCGGGTCGCGCAACAACAGAACCGCTTTTTATTGTCAATTTTCAGAAAATTAATTGTGCAATGCTCAGGAAAACACTTGTGTTTTGAGAGAAGCACCTGCTGCGGCAAGGTTTAGGAATGTTCCGTTACAAAGCATCCCCGTTCCACCCTGAGCCCAAGGTAGAGCCACCAGCTCCAGAAACACTTTCCGCCCAGGACCAGTGTTAAACTGCTCCTCTCTTCTTCGCTTGTTCACCCAAGTCGGCACTAAGGACCCCCCTGTGGATTAAGTATCATAATACACACGCAACCACAACGCAACTATGTCTTAGTGGAGCTTCAAAGATTTAATTGTACCCAGAGTCTAAAGATAAGTGGACAGAACACACAGGGTTTGCAACTAGAATTTAGTTTAAAATGCTGTTGACTGTGAACGAGCCAAAGTTACGTTTGCTGGTGCCCTCAGCAGCAGTAAACACGAGGGCTCTGACTTGCCATCACGTCAGCAGATTTGACTCTCGGTGTGTACCAAGACTAGAATCCTTGACAGCAGTAAAGCTTTAGAGTTTCTTTTCAAGAGCAAATTTTATTCATTCTATTTGTTATTTTAGTGTCAAGTACTGCTTGAACACCTACCCCAACTGGGAATTAAGGTACCTGCCCTGTAACGGGGATGCACAGAAGGGAGACACAGTCTGGAGCCCACACAGCTTGCTGCTGAACGTCTTTTTTTTTTTTCCTTCTTTTTTTCCTTTTTGCACACATCTACACCTGCTCAGATAATGCCCCAAAACCCAGGAAAAGGGCACGCTTTCGGTGGGTTAAGCCCTGCTACACGATACGCCCCCAAAAGGGCACGCCACTAATACCTACTGATGGCTGTGCTTGGAGCCGCCTGTATTAAATTTGTTACCCCACATCAGCTGTGAACAGTCAATAAAACGCAGGGCTCTCCCCGCCTTACAGCACTAGACCAGAAAAGGCGTGTTAAGCAAGCCCTCTAAAGCACGCTTTTCCACTCTGAACTGATTTGAGAACCAGCAACAGCGTTTTTCTTGGTCAGGTCCCCCTTCACTTCATTAGTGCCTTTTGTCTCTCGAAAAGGCAGCAAGGAGAGCAGCTCTGCTTCTGCTGCTCAGAAACGCTTTACAGCCAGTTCCTACAGATCAAGGCAAAACTATTTGTACCTGGTGGCTCAACAAAGAAAGAGGCATCCGGTCCCTTCACGTCATGCTGCGCTCCCACCCAGTGTTCTTCAGGCACTACAGAAAACAAACGCAGTCAGTCCTGCCACGAACCCTGCTTCATTTTTTGCAGCTGAAGGTATTGACTCTGCTGCTTTTGGAGTTCATTCTCAGGTAGCTTTTCCGTTCCCTTTAAGAACGGTACCAGAACACCATGTTCTGCTGTGATTACTGGTAGTGAAAGCCTCTATCAGAGTTGTAACCAGCCCCGACCCCAGGATCCAAGAGAGCAGGCTCTTCCCTCAATTATTCTGGGCAACCAGCTCTGCTTGACTGAGCAGGGAGGCTGGACAAGATACCTCCGGAGGTCTCCTTCCAACCTCAACCATTCTGTGACCTCCTAACATCTTCACAACGTTCACACTGAACCAAGAACTGTCACTGCTAACAGGATACTTCCTAATCTTGACTCATTTTATGGATCAGCTCCCCCACCAAGGCTCCCTAGGACGAGTAACCAAAGATTTTCCAGCTGCATACACTTCAAACCCAGCAAGCAAGACAGTAATAGCAAACCACCTGTTTCTTACCTGCTTTGTCTTGCAGAAATTCTGCAGTTGAATCCAGGCCAATGAAGGCTGATGGGTCGAGAGCCTCTGCAGGAGAATACAGGGGCCCCAGGAAAGGTTGTTCAGGTACCATCATAGGTCCATGTGGTGCTAAGGAAAGAAAAGGCCATTTGTTCATCACCACCCTAGGCCTAGTGACTGCCCTCCAAAATTTAAAGTCTATGCAATGTCTGGAAAACAAACTGTTCTGTCCTGCTGACAAGCAGCGTAGATCAAGTCTGTAAGTCGCTCTCTCAGCTCACCTTTACAGACTGCATGGGAAATCATGTAGGCATACACCGTTTTTTAACGGGGTGTAAGACAGTAAGCACAGGCAAATTACTTCCCTTTCGCTGTCTGCTCCTGCTTCCATGAATTCTTGTCAATAATCACTTAAACTCCAATAGTCCAAACACTGCAGACCACTCTGTGGAAAAAGTTCATGTGTTCTTGGTTTCTAGCCATGAAGACAAGAGCCATTGGTAACTCCCGCTCCAGCTCAACTCGCCTAGTTGTCCTGTCTCTTTCTGCCTAAATATACCTCCTGGAAGCAGCTACTGGAACAGCTTTAGGCACCCACACAAAACATTTTAAAGAATCATGTGAAGAGCTTATGTAGTCTGTGCCCTTTGCAGCTTAACAGTTTTCGGTACATGAAAGTCAACAGAGGAAAACCCCCCAAACGTGACCATCAGGAACAAACGCTGAGGAGGAACTTACCATGGATGTCTCTGGAAGCATCAGCATGGGCCATGAACAGCGGCACATTCTTCATGTCAGTAGGAAACGACAAATCAGGCAGGTTCTCTGCTCTGTGCATGCTGAAGGGGTCTGGCAGGAGACAAGAACGAGGCCAGTGTCACCACACAGGGGGAAGAGACGACGCAGAATAAGATTATTTAAAAAAACAAGATGAAGGGGCACCTGACACCACCACTGGACTTCCAAGGGAAAGCTGCTTTCCAGATTATTTACCAGGGGCAGACACCTTCATAATTCAAACTTATGCCCAGCAGTAAAACGCGGCTGCTCAGAGTGCTTCCTCGGGAACACCGACCAAAGCTGAGGTTACGGCTGCTGCCTGGAGAACCCGTCTCCTCCTCTCAAGGAGGAAGCAGCTGTTTGACCGATGGACACAAACAGCTAACCTGAGCCAGGCTGAGCTCTGGATCAGTTCACCTGACAGCAGGCCAAGGAAAGGCTGCGCAAGCTACATGCTCTCCTCCCCAACAACAGTACACCAGTACAACCCGGCTCACGGGCCAGAATTTTAACCAAGTTACAAGCCAGAGAGGAAGACAGCGCATTTCCCAGCGTCGCAGGCAGGTGAGCAGCCTTCGCCCTCAGTTCCAGACCAGACGCACTGGTGAGGCTGTCGGGATCTTTGGTCCGCATTTGCAGGTTGCCTGGTGTCAGCTTTGGTCGGGCTAACGAGCATCAGCTTCGTTCTGCTTTTGGTCCGTGCCTTAAGTGCCCGCGTCGACGTCATCTGCAAAGGATGGTGCTCCAGGCGCTGAGGATTCAGCAAGAGAGAATTCCATCTCTGCAAGTTCTGTTTTTCATGTGCCCAGATCTCCTTTCTGCTCAAGTAACCAGTGTGGGCATTCAAACCAGACGGGACAGAGAGAACCACCACCATGCTGGGTTTTAGAAGATGGATTACTTAACTGAAATGCCCTGAGTCAGAGCAGGAGATGACCTCACTGACAGAATAAAATGAAGACAAGATGACCCTTCCATGAGTCAGTCGCTGTACCGTAATACAGTCAAGGCCAACACACTGCAAGGGGAAGGAAATGTGGCATTCCTCAAATTATTCTGTAGTTTACAAACCCCTGGATGTGTTTTACGATCAGTGATGAAGCCAACACATCTTGCTGGCCTGTGCCAGGTGCACGTTGCTTTTCTCTCCAGACAGGCACAGCCGAGCAACGAGAGGTTTCGACTCAGGTGGCCTCTTGCAGACAAGGGACATTTCTTAGGACTCTCACACGCTGCACTACCCAGGAGCTGAAGAACTCTCTGTTCCCGAAATGGCTGTCACACACGGATTTTCAGACACTCCACAGATTTCTCCCGGTTAAGCACAATTAAAAGGGATTCAGCTAAAGGCTGTTACTCATTTTCACGTCAGGCATGCTGTCGGCGGGGATGACAGCCAACTTCAAACGTGCACAAGCCCACAGTGCTCCAAGATGTCAAGATCAGGTATGCTGCATGAATTCTTTTATAAATCTATCGGACCATTTGAGATGCCAAGACAACGTCTTGCTTTAGAGTAACTGCAGAAAATTTTAATTTCAAGCTGTTTAAAACAGTATTACCAAGACTAAATAACTGCCTTTTTTCCAAATAAAAAAACCAAACCAAACAAACAAACAAAATCCCCAAACCCACAGAAGAGCATTGAAACTGAAACCAACTTAAAACCTAGAAGAGCTGCCGCTGCTGTCCCCTCCTTGTCCAGCAGTTAGATGATGTGGCAAAAACAGGCAACCCGGATTAAACCCTGTCTCTGCTCTGGGGGCAGAAAGGGGAGACGTGGAAGGAGTCGTGGCTGAACTTCTGCTTCCCCTCTCCACGGATGCTCCAGAGGCTCAGAGGGGGCCTGTGCCCTACCCAGTTTCTAGCATTCTGGCACCTGGTAAGTGCTGCCGCTCTGCCGAAGACGAGGCGACGCTTCCAGCAAAACCCACCGCAGCTGGCAAGGGAAGGCAGGCGGGCAAGGATACGGCTGGGACACGGCCAGCTCAGGAGGTATCAGCTCTTGCATTAAATGAGCCCTGAAAACAATTCTGTCCTCGCTCAAAACCTGCAGCTTGTTTCGAGCTTTATGAAGCCAGACCAAGGTGAAGAAGCCAAGAGTATCGCTACGGACAGCCGGAGGCAAGCTCGACAAAGCATTTACGGAAGTTTCTTTTCAGCTCACTTCCACAGACACCCGCACCCTTCGCTGTTCAGAGCCGTAGTTCCAGTTTGTCTATGGCTGTGGACTAATAAAAGTAATAACCGCGGGTCATTTAAACAGGAACGCTTCATGTTCCGACACTCACCTGTGGTTACAGTAAGAAATCGTGACACACTCGCGATTAAATGCCTTGCAGCACTTTCAAGGCCTGCAGGCCATGAGATAATGTTTGACTTTTATTCATTCTACACTGCAATAACATTTTTAAAACCAGTCTTTTTATTACAGGTAGTATGTGAAATCTATAGGAACGTTTTTGCTCACGGCTGGTACTTTCCGAGGGCTGGGTCCCACTGCCAGACCCCACCGCAGCGCTGGTAACACAGGACAGCAGAGGCCAGAGCAGACTCAGACGCGCTTTCAGCTGGTCACAGAAGCGGCAGAGCTGGCACTTGCCGTGTTCCTCACCAAGGAAGAAGGAATTATGGCAGTGCTGGCGAGGAGACCCGTTACACCGCCGACCAGAGGATTCTCTCCGGGAGGGAAACCATCCTACTGTTTACCAAAGAGCGTGCCTAAAACTACTTAGTAAACCTGCAGACTCCTGTGAGCCTGCTGTTCACATTTTTCTCCTTCTGCTGACAAGTCCTTAAAGCTTGCCTGTCCTCTCTGATCCTTCTGCTCAGTTATGGGAATCTACCAACCTCTAAGCAGAACCTCTTGTTTGCTCAGTACCAGAAGAGCAGTAGGGAGGAATGCTTTCGCCCTGAAGTACACGTGGTACCTTGTGCAGGCACACGGGTGCAAGATACTCTACAGACGTGACACCTAAGGAAACGTGCAATAGATAACCCAGAGTCACACCATTCAGGCCAAAAGAACACTGGGTGATGGGCTAGGTGTGCAGATTGCTCCTCATCAAGTGTGTCATCTGGCTATCGAGCATCACCGCACTGACAGGCCATTCTTTCAGCTAACAAAGCAACGGGAGGGAAAAAAACCCAACAACTGTGGTTTAGAAACCAGTGGCTCTTTTGTTCCCGTTGTTCCATGAATCAGTCCTTACCCTGGTAACAATAGATGATTTCTTCACAGGATCTCTTAGTAAACAGGAGATTGAGATTGCAAGAAAATAATTCAGTAAGCAGGTCTACCGTGCTCAAAAATATATATATATAAAAAAGGGTCATCCTGTTTCACCCAGTATCTTTCCCAGGTTTATTGTCTTTTACAATCTGGGCAGCACATACATTTCTCACACCCTCCAAGAGCTAGCAAGTCATTTCCCATAAGCTTTCTCAAAAAGGAGAGAAAATTGGGTGAAAGCTGTTAGGTGAAAGGGTATCTTTTTGCAGGGGCAAGTTACACAAGGTTCATCTAATTTTCAAGAGAGTCAGCAGCTACGCAGGCTGCCTCCGGAACAGACTGACCTGCATTGCAGACACAGCGACGTGACAGCTGGAACGGCATTTCCGAGAGCCAGGCAAGACCGGCTCGCAGCTGGCAACAGTTTTGGCGAGGTTTGCACTGAAAGCCCCCGTACCGGGGAGCCGTCAAACTGTGGGAGTCAACCCCAAACTGCTACTGCCACGTGAGCCAGCGCGGGGGGAATCTGCCCCCCCACGCGCCGGGTGCTCTCACCCAGCGGGCTCGCAGCTCCCTTTGTCACCAGCCAGACTGTGCTCTGGGGCAAGTGAGGGGCTCGACGGGCTGAGTTACCTCTGGTGTCAAGATGTTACACATCGCAGGAAAACAGAGCAACTCATCCTAAGGAATGCAGGCGCGAGTACAAGGCAAGAGAACAAATCCCCCCGTAGGGAGAGAGGCTGGGACTCCACGTCACACAGCCGCGAACAGACCCGATGCTACGGTTCGAAGAGCATTACGGTCTTACCAGCCATCTCCATGGGCTTGAACACGGGCTGGGACTCAAAGCACAGGTCTCTGTCATCCATTGTCCAGGAGTCATTGCGATCCAGAAATTCTTTGTAAGACAGCTTTTCATCCATGATTTCTCCTGGGAATACTGAAATTAGAGAAGAAAACGACACAGTCAAAAGTGAAACATCAAACTAAAACATTTAAAAGAGATTATTCCGTGATATGACAACAGATGACACGAACTGTTAGCCAAATCAGAGACGAGGAATATTAATTTGTTACTGCTTTGATCCAACTCTTCAAATGTAAGAAACAAAATAATGGGAATTTCTGCACTTGATACACAAGACAGATCAAGGATGGACTCACACGTGAGAGCGCTGTCCTGTGTTCAGATGTTGGACAATCCACACTAGCTCCTTGCACGCATCTTTCAGGAGATTTTCCATGAACGCACGGGCTGGAACAACCCTGAGACCCTGAACGTGCGAGGCTGAGCAAAGCTTTCAAGTCTGTCAATACAAACTGCTGAACACAACTTGCCCATCAGGTCACCGTGGGGAGGAGGGAAAGTCAAAGCCCCTTCCGCTCCTGCCCAGGCATCGACTTGTAGGCGCCGAATCCAATCATATTTACAAAAATGCTAGCAGCACCACAGGCACGCGGTGCCCATAGGATGGTTTTGCTCTCTGCTTTACTAGGAAGACAACCTCCAAATCACTTAAGTAAATAACTTTTCCCTAAATACCTCAACGGCCTTTATTTGTGTACCTTTCTATGTCACACTTCAGCCTAATCTTCCCCCAGTTCACAACAAAGACAGTTCTCTGAACACACCAACACACCGAAGCCTGATGGTTCATATCTGACCAAGGAAAACGTTCATCTTTCTTTGCTAGCCCTTGTTAAGCCCTTAACCGCACTGAAACTAACCGCCTTCAGCAATATGAGATGTTAGAGTCGAGTATTTTATTACCAAAACCTCGGTAGGTGCCTTTCACAACCAACAAAACGCCCCACAGAAAAACGCGTGGACATCAAGAAGCTGTTAGCCAACATGAAGCTGTTTCATTAAGGTTTGTCACAAGGAATACCGAAAATAGGCCCATCAGCCTTTTCCCGACGTCCTCACAAGCTGTCGGAATACGTTTAGAAAACCAAAGCGAGAACGCTGGGCTGTGAGCCGAGCCGCCCTCCAGCAGCAGCGCTAAGCCATGCTGTGGGCTCTCCTCTTCCTCACCTTCTGTACTTGCTTGGGGTTTTTTTATTTAGTTCTCCACTTTTCCCAGTCAGCACCCTGGGATGACCCAGTGGATAAGCAGGAGCCTGTAGCAGCCCCGCCACGATACACAGATGTACGCAACGCTGCCAACAGCCCCAGCTGCACCGGCATCACCACGCACGAGAGGATTTCACCTCTGCCCTGGGCGGCTGGGATTCAGAGGCCCCCCCGGAGTGCTGCAGGCCTCTTGGGGAGGGTGGTCCAGCCCTGGATATTGGGGGAAGCTTTGGATATGAGGGGAGCTGCACACGCACCCCCACTGCCCGCTGGTTTTATCACTTTGGCTTTAAATCACTTCAACACAGAAACAAAAGCAGCAGCTAGTGCTAATGGCCAGGATGGAAAAAGCAGCAAGGCCTAAGTTAAGCTCTCCCCATAAATAAGGGATGTATCAGTGCCTACAGCACAGGAAAGCTCGCTGTAAGCGAGCTAACACTTGTGAGGTTTGATTTACACTTAAAATTAACGCACAAAACCCCCGGAACTTCAGCTGTGTCAACACTGGCTACTCTACTGTCACTCCCTCCTTACTGTCTCCGCTGTTACTGTACAAAGCCCGGGTGTTTCAGCCTTCAAAGACATTTCCAGATGCTGCAGTTGTACAAGAAACACAAACATGAGTCCTGAAGTTTTCAAACAAGACAAACACAGTGGAAAGGCTCAAGCCAAATACCCAGACTAATGATTTTTCAGATTAATTTTCATTTTAAAGAGACCTGAATTTGTCAACTCTTCCACCAACAACATTAGACTTTCAAACTCATTTCCAGTTCCTTCTGGAAAGAAACACCAAAAAAATTTACACAAACTCCTTCTCTCATCCCCTAGTGCAATACGCTACACTCTCTTACATCTCTTTATGCTTATAAAAAACATTTTTAATTTCACTTTGGCTCACAATACTACTTGCAAGACTGGAGCTCGGGAAAGGCACCGACAGCGTGCCTCCAAGGGTATCCCTGAACATGACCCTTAATTCTGTGCAACCCGCAGTTAAAAGCAAAACCAATGTTAACACCGAGAAGGAACAGTACGGAGGAAATAATTGAAAACATGACAGTGGTGTATAAAAGCAGCAAGCACCACCTCTTCTAGGAGGGTGAGGTACCAGCTACCGAGAATTCATAGCGAGGTGGATCAGAGACTCATAGAGAGACTGTAAAATTCTAATAATAAAGTGACTGAGCAAGAGTAAGATGAAAGGGGGCTTTTGTGGGGGTTTTGGTTTGGTTTACATCACAAATACTGAAACGGTACCAGCACAAATCAATCAGTGCCAACAGCAATTTCATCAAAGGCTCTCACAAGCACAGGAGGGGACTCAATGAAGTTCGAAACATGCCAAAATCCCCAGTTAGTTCATAAATACTGCTTCTCGTAATTAAACTGGAGCTCAGTGCCACACGGCGGCCCCGGGCTCTGAAACTTTGCAAGGTCAGAGGCGCCTGGCGGTCTGCGCGCTCCTACCTGAGTCATTAACAGCAACACACTGGAGCGGGGACTGCACGGATAATCCCCAGGGAAGGCAGAACAATTAACGAGCTTTAACTCCCTGTGAGGCGTGACGTGAAGTGCGGCGCAGCAGACGGGACGGGACTAGGCGAGTGTTCCTCTCCCTGAATTCAGAGGGAGGCAGGGATGGAGTCACCAGGGAGGCAGGGACGGAGTCACCAGGGAGGCAGGGACGGAGTCACCAGGGAGGCAGGGATGGAGTCACCAGGGAGGCAGGGATGGAGTCAGGAGGTTTCAAGACCAGCTCGTTTCCCTCGGCAGGACGCTGGCCCTCCCCAACAGCCCCGCGGCCACCTGCTCGTCCTCCAGCTCCGTCCCCAGCCCTGAGCAACCAGAGGGGCTTCCAGCTCCCCGGCTGACCGGGCTGGGGACGCCCCAGGTGCGCGCTGCTCCCAAGGGGCTGAGAGATGCCGCACCAGGCGTTCGGTGCTGCGGATGCAGCGAGCCAGAAGGGACTGGATCTCCAAAGGGAAATGAGAGAGACTATTCACGAGGCTGCTCACGGCACCAGGGTTTGAACTTGGGTGTCCCCCAAGAAACAACCAGACAAGTAACACACCAGAAATAAGCTTTTTTCCCCACTGAAATTCAAACTCCAGAGACTGCTGCCCACCAGCCGCAGGTTGGGTACTGACAGGCCGCGACAGGACAGGCACTAGCTGTGGGAAGCCGTATTGTGCTCCCACAGAAGCTGAGGATTGTAGAAGAGCTCCTATTCACATTCTGAGTCAACTAAATAAAACTAAAATACATGCTTTTTTTACCCTTATATCCACTGACGGCCAGAGAATGGGAATTCAAAGTAGTTCTGGTAAATACAAGATCTTCTACTACTTTGCTTCTGCATAAACACCACCAAGAGAGAGAGCTGAAGAATGGCTTTCGAATAAATTCCATTTCTGACCATCAGCAGAGTTATTCCTACCTCTCGTGCTACAACCCTGCAGATGCTACAAGCATCCTAAAGCAGTGTTGATTTGGCAAGTGGATGCTGCTTTTCTGCCAGTGCCTTTTAGCTATTATTCTGCTAAATGACTACATTTGACATGGTTGACTTCAGCAGAGAGGATACAGAAGCTTCCCAGGCCAAGCTTTACGACAGCTCTGCTTCCTCCCTGCAAAGGACAAGGTACAACTGTGTGCAAGCAGCAAGCAGGAACGGTGACACGTGAAGGCAATAACCCCCTCGTGTTCAGCCTCGGCAATGCTGGCTGACCACGGAGTCTGGGGGTAGCTTAAAGGCTGACATTTTAAGCAGGAAATATTTTATTAAGCCAGACAATGATTGTTTAGATTTGCAAAGTACTTGAAGATAAAGTGCCGCTACATGTGTCAAGAGACATTATTATTTATGATTATTTGTGGTGCAGAATAGCAAGGGCTTGGATTATATTTTATTGCAAATTCCTCTGGACAGGAGCCTGTCATTCATTTGTCTATAAACTCCATTTAAAGCCAAGACGACCAGGAGACTGTGAACGTCCTTGTCAGTGTGAGGAAGAGGCGCGGGAGCAGTTAAGAAAATTTGACATGAACTTTGTCACAGATGACTTTAACTGATTTTTGGATTGGACTCATGCTAAATCCGAGCGGCTGCAGAGCACACCTCGATTGAACTCGAGGTACTTTAACTAAATCTGTTAGGACCAGGCTACAAATATGTATTGGCATATTGCTGCTGCTGATAATCTCACAGGGGAAGGACGCAAACTCAGGGTCACAACAGGCAAACCAGAAGTAAAGCCTCCAGTTTGGGGTTGGGTTTCTTTTTAGTAGACAGGTTGCATTCACGCCTTTAAATAAAGAGGAGGGGAACCTCCCTGAGCCACACACCTTGCTGGGAAAGGAACGAGCAGGACAGCAAGGCAGGGAAGTAAGACGGTAAGGGGAAACATTTACACGCGACATCAGGTGAAATCAAACTCCTGTAGCAGCTGTGCAAAACTGTACTGGTATTTGCAAACCCCCAGTGCTAGCAAAAGCCCAAAAGCCCAAAAGCCAGATGAAAGATGATCCAAAAGCAGTTGTGAATTGCCTCTGCCAGATGATTAGAAATGTAAACCAAAGACTCGTGGATTTTTCATACAATATTTTCATAACAGATGCTAATTAAAAAGACAAACCCACAGCAGTGTTGCTTTCCAGCAGAAGAACAGCCGTAAGAAGGAGCCCAGTTGGCTGCTGGAGGCAGCCCAGAGGCCAGCGGCCAGGTCAGGGGCAGGCACAGGGCTTCTGAGCCCAGCGCAGCCCCCGCTCCCCCTGCCAGCAGCGTGCCTCTGCCGAGCCCGATCTTCGCTATGCGGCAACGCCAGCGGAGAGGAAAGATTGCTGCATCCCAGTAAGCACTAGCA